TGTTCTCGCCATTTATGTCGGTATTGTAGCTCCGTTAGATATTCAGAGTTCCACCGTCTCCAGAATTCATGTTTTATGTGGGAGACCAATTTCCATCTTGTTAATAATGATGTTTTTATCTTTGGTGTGCTTGTACTTGCTGGTGCTGTAAGGGCTTAACCAATTAGAAAGTGGCCTGGCGTAAGTGCTTCAAAGTCATTTGGATCATTCGACATTGGAGTAATCGGTCTTGAATTTAATATTGACTCTATTTCAATAACAACTGTTTCTAGCTCTGTGTACGTTAAGGATTCTGTGCCAACGCTGCGCACAAGCAGATGTTTCGCCAATTCCACTGCTGCTTCCCAGAGTCCTCCGAAGTGAGGCGTACAAGGAGGAATGAAGTTAAATTAAATACCTTTTTTACTGCACGGTCTTTCAATTACTTGTCCTGATTTTTTTGAGTAAATGAGTTCTTCTAGCTCATTCAGTTTATTATTGGCTCCAATAAAATTAATTGCATTGTCACAAAATATATTTTGGCAATGTCCACGCCTCGCAACAAAACGTTTAACTGATCCAATAAATGCGTCGGTAGTTAGGTCACTAACTAGCTCCAAATGTACTACTTTGGTGGAGAAACAACAGAAAACAGCAATATATGCCTTGTGCGGTCACTTCCTTCTTACCTTGTAATGTACCAGAAATGGTCCACAAAAAGCCTGTATTAAGGAATGGTCTGGCAGATTGTACTCGAGTACTTGAAAGATTCTCATAATTTGGTTAAATGTTGTAGGCTTACACCTAGTACAGCGAACACAGTGTTGAACAATTGACCGCGCTATTATTTTTCCCTTGACCGGCCAGAATTTCTGTCGAGTTGTTGCCAACAATGCTTGTCCACCACAATGCATGTTTGTTTCATGAATATTTTTCATTATTAGTTTCACAATTTGGTCGTTGTATGGAAGAAGAATTTGATGCTTAGCATTATATGGCAATTTTGATGCATCTATTCTGCCTCCAACCCGAATGATGTTGTCTTCATCTAAAAATGGAGTAAATGCAGCTAATGCGCTCGATGCCTTTACATAGTTGCGATGCCTTAATTCCCTTTTGTGTTGTTTGAATTCAGCTTCCTGAATGCACCTTACTATGTGAGTCTCTGAATCGAGTTCTATTGAATGAATCTCGCCCTTTTGAAGTTGTCTGGTCCGGTTTATGAAGCGCAGCACATAGCCTACAATATGTAACAAGGTGTCGAAGGAATTTCTGTGGTTTATTATATACACCCAGTCGGCACTACACCTAGTTGCAGTTAATGCTACCTGTCGTAAAGTACTCTTCAATTCTGCGTTATCTGGAAGACTGCATAACATTTTTTTGAATTCTCCTGGCCACAGTTCCTCGGACCCATGTACAAACATTGGGCCATAAAACCATAAGTGATTAGTTTGTAACTGGGAAGGTTTAATGCCACGTGATAATGCATCTGCAGGGTTGTGTCGTGAACTCACATGTTGCCATTGGCTTGGTACTGAAATGTCTTGAATTGCAGCAATTCTGTTTGATATAAATTGTTGATGCTTTGCTGGCACCGAATTTATCCAATGCAGTACGATTTCCGAATCGGTCCAATTATATGTTGGCACCTTATAGTTCAAGTCATCTTTTACTTTTTTCACTAGTGTTGCTTCAAGAAAAGCCGCACACAACTTTAAGCGCGGAATAGTTTGTGTTTTTAAGGGTGCAACGCGTGATTTGGAACATAAAAGCGATTAATCAGACGTCCATCTTTCAATTTTGCTCGAACATATATCATAGCACGTTTAAGACGTTTTTTGTATCCTAGTTCCAGGGCAGGGAGTCTTCTCATTTCTAGGTTTGAATGCTGAAGCAATTTAGATAAGTGGTTAGCACTGCTTTTTTGAATTGTTTCGTGTACAGTAGGGATATTCAGGTCTTTGTGAATATCGTCGTTTCTGATGTACCATCTAGCATCTACTATCGTACGCAGGATTTTTGATTGGAGCCTTTGAATAGTATTTATATAAGTCTTGCAGGTGGTTCCCCATATTTCAATTCCATATTTCCAAATCGGAACAATAATACTTTTGTAAATTAGTAGTTTGTTATCTATTGACAGACTGGAAGTTTTACCAAGAAGCCAATATAGATCTGCAAATCTTCGATGAGCTTCCTTTTTCTTCTGAATTATGTGCTCCTTCCAAGTCAGCTTTTGGTCTAATAGCATACCCAAGTAATTGGCTTTCTTGCAGATTGGTATTCACAATGTTCTTCAAATTTTCTGTTAGTGAAAATGACTTGGACAGTTTCTTCGGCGTTTATCTTTATCCCACAGGTGTCAGACCAATGCATCACTTCGTTTAGATGATTTTGAAGATTTACAGTTGCTTTAGTGATATCATGGTTCGTTGATAAAAGTCCAGTATCGTCAGCAAACGTTACAGTTAGTATTTCTCCAGTTTTAGGCTTAGGAATGTCTGCAGTGAATAATAGATATAGGATCGGACCTAATACACTCCCTTGAGGGACACCGGCTTCTATTTTTATCATGTGGGATGTGTCGTTTTGGTATTGTACAAAGAAGTATCTATCTTTAAGGTAGCTCTTCAGTAGTAAATAAAAATCGGCCGGCAATACTCTTGATAGTTTGTAAAGCAGTCCTTCGTGCCAGACGCTGTCGAATGCTTTAGCTACGTCTAAAAACACACCCACAGTGATCTTCTTAGAGTCTATATTCATTGCAATTTTACTAGCCACCCTATGAATTTGCTGAATAGTAGAATGCTTTTTACGAAATCCAAATTGGTGATTTGGCAATAGGTTGTTTTCTTGTATTATTGGTTCAAGTCGGGAGAAAAGAAGATTTTCAATTAGTTTGGATAAGATAGGTAATAAGCTGATCGGTCTGTAAGAGTTGACAATTGAAGCATTTTTGTTTGGTTTAGGTATTGCTACAACCTTCGCTACTTTCCAAACAGAAGGGAAAATTTTATTGCTGATCATGCAGTTAAAGATGTTTCTAATGTAAATTATAGCTATTACAGGTAATTCTAGAAGAAATTTACCAGATATCTCATCATAGCCTGGTGATTTTTTTGATGTTGATGTTAATGATGTTTTTTATTTCAGCAATTGTTGTCTTCTTAATTTTAAAATTCATCTGGGTCAAGTTCTTGGATAATGCATGGTTTGTATCATTTTTAGGATTTGTAAATGTGCTCTTAAAATACTCAGCGAGAACAGTTGCTTTTTCTTGGTTTGTGCGCGCCCAAGTGTTATCTTCTTTTTTAAGCGGTGCGCAATGAAGTATGGCGCCATTACTACCCTTTGTAGCTTTCCATAAGGAGTAATTTGTAACCTTTGTAGCACTCAATCTTGAGATAAAATTTGATACATTTTTTTGTCTTTCAGCCTCTAATAAAACTTTCAGCTCTTTTGTTAATTTATTCAACTTTGTCTTTATTTGTGGAGCTCTAGATACTTGCCAGATTTTTCTCAACTTTCTTTTTTGTTCTATTTTATGTTTGATATGATTCGGGACAGGTATTACATTTTTGGTTTTTGTTATTGGTGTAGATGCAGATGCTGCAGATAATAGTAGAGAATTGAAATTGATTATTGCATTATTTATTTCCTCTTCTGTTCTTAGAGCTACATTTATAACTAATTGTTCTTCTATTATCTCGCGATATGTATCCCAACATGTTTTGTAATTGTAAGTATTAATGTTCGTATTGTTCATAGTAAGAGTTGCGCTGTAAACTAGTACTATCGGTGAGTGGTCAGAGGACAACTCAAGGCTGGAATGAATGGAAAGGTTACTTACATTTATGTTTTTTGTTATAAAGAAGTCAATCAAATCAGGTTGCTTTCTTGGGTCACTATGCCAGTATGTTGGTTCACCAGTACTTATAAATTTTGCTTTGTATTCATTCAGTGCGGTGTAGAGATTTTTGCCCTTTGCGTTTGTTAAACGTGAACCCCATAGCATATTTTTTGCGTTTTTGCGTATTTGTTCTGTACTATGATTTTCTGATTCAGAGCTAACTATACAGTTTTTTATGAAGATGGCAGTTCCACCGTGTCCTTTTCCGTCGGGATGATTGGTTTGAAATATTGTGTAATTTTTTATTTTAACATAGCTTTTTTCAGTGAGATGTGTTTCTGAGGTTAATAGTATGTCGATCGAATTTGAGTACAGAAAAGTTTTCAATTCGTTGATATGTCTACTTATACCATTTGCATTCCATGCTACTATTTTTAATTCATTGAACTTGCCCATTGATTTTTGTGACCAACGCCGTTAAAATGTTCATCATTCCTGACATTTGTGTTATCAATGTTTTCATCATTTCTTTTAACTCTGCGAGGTCTGGGTTGTAAGAGTTAGATTCAACAGGTGTTTGACGCGTAACTTGGGCATATGATACTGTTTGTGGGATGTTGGCATTTGTGTTTTGAGCAGTTGCATTGTCTGTTGTGTTCAAAGATTGTTGCTGACTTGTTTGGACGGGTGTTACTTTTTCTCTCATGATAGGATATCGTTTAATTTTAAGTGATTTGTACACCTCACATCCGTTGTAGTTGGCTGTGTGCTTTTCTCCGCATAAGGCACAGCTTATGTTTTCAGAATTTCCTTTTGTTGGACAATTGGCGGTTTTATGATTTCCTGCACATTTAACACAAACCGGTGACTTGGTGCAGAAATTTTTTGTATGTCCATATTTTTGACAGTTAGAACATTGAGGTATGACTTTTTGAGGGCGAGGTGGCTCAAATTGGATTTTGCAGTGAAGTAAATATTTAATTGAGTAAATTTCTTTATTATTCACATTTTGTTTTAATTCTAACGAGAATAAATTCAATGGCTTCTTAGTTCGTAGTTGTAATATGTTTTGGATATTTATGATTTCATGACCGTTTTCATGAAGGCTTTTTTTAATTTCATTTGTATCCACTGAGTAGTGCATGCCACGGAGAAAGACTTTAAAACCTCATTCTTCCGTCGGTTTATATGTATAGTATTCGGTATTTTTTTCTTTAAGCAGCTTTATTATGCTGGTGTAATAAGTTGAGTCAAATGGTTGCAGTTTGACTTCATTATTTGGTAATACTTTTATTTCATATTTGCAATTCGGTATTGAGTCAATTGCCTTTATTAAAATGTCTAGTCTTTCTACTTTTTGAATAAAGAGCGGTGGTGGTTTGGTTTTTTTAATTTGTTTTGTTGTATCATTTTCGTTGCTGTCGCTCTTTTCACTATTCACTTCGCCGTTATCATTTTCGTCCGATAAGCATGCGAACCTGTTTGCTGGTTTGGCAAGCCAATAGTTCGTCAGCGTTTGCTGATTAGACGATTGCTCTTTTTGCTTTTGTTTCTTGATCCTCTGCTTTTTTTTTTGATTATTAGGAGATGATCTATTTCTTTTTGTTGAAAGTGGAGTATTTAGAGTGGTACTCTGCAATTTTTGCAAAGGCGGTGAAATTGTTGACATTATTGGTTCATGCATTGATGATGTTGTTGTTATTATGCTCGTTGATAAAGAGGTGGCAATTGAGTTTGTTGTATTACTTGTACGTAGAGTGCATACAATGTTTTCTACAAATGTTTTTACGGGAATTTGGTTCGAACGTACAGTAACATTTACCGAAGTTGTGAAGGAATTACGTCTTACAGGTAGTGGTCTTTCATCCAAGACTTTTTGTGGCGACATATCTTTATATGTTTTTGTGTTTTTTAATAAAGAATTTGTTAAGTTGTTGGTTAACTTAATTTTATTAGCTGTGGCAATTTCACTAGCTATTTTTGCTATATTAGTTTCGTGTACAGAATTTGTTTTAAGTTTCTTATTTGTTTTAACGTCTTCTGTGCTAAGCATAATATAGCCATTTAAGCCATTTTCACTTATATGAGAGTGCCGACGTACAACTCTTTCATTCATGTTTATTCAAAAAAAAAACATTAATCATGTATTGATTTGTATTTAGAAAAATTATTTTTATTAATTACAACATATATAATTTATTATTATTTATAATTTAAATTTTTATAATGTGTTATTTTATTTTATTTGAAAGAAGTCTGTAATTTTAATTTGTTTAGACATTTTTACTTTTTCCTTATCAAGGAACTCTTCCAACAAGTTAATAGATTTAAAAATTTTTTCATCAACATCGTCACGCGATTCCGTAAATGTACATACAGTTTGTAATGCTCTACGCGTGTTTAAATACGAAGACAGTTCAACAATGTCTTCATTTTGTGCATCTTGGTTTTCTACATCTGAATCTATAAATATTAAAATTATAATCTTAGATTAATTAATCTATTGCTTTTTTTAAGTATGGGCCATGATGACTGTATTTTTATCAACATTTATATAATCGTCCAAAGATCCATCACTTATATTAACGGTGCATTTCGACCATAGCTCTTTTAGGCACATATATTCTTCTGTTATAACATCTTCCTTTGCAACCTCTGCTTGAGATATATTGATCTCATCATGGGAGGACTGCAGCTCATTAGCTCATTAGCCAATAACTAATAGTTTCAACTTTTTTTTCCAGTGAGATTGCTTACAACCATAACAGTTATGCTGTCCTTACTTTTTTTCCACTGACACATTTTTGATTTTTGAACGTAAGAATCCGAGATAGCAAACACTTAAAAAATAAACCAATTTCATCGGCATTAAATATGTCATTTGGATTATAGTTTTTAATTAAAACTGGAAGAATATTTTTGACCCAATTGTCTAATGTCTCTAAGTTCACGTCACTACCTTCACTGCAAACAAATTTTTCGACAATATTATGTCTTTTTTTAAATTTTTCCAACTATCCATTACTTGCTGCAAAGTCTGGATAACCTAATGCTTCCGCAAAATATTTAGCTTTTTCTTGCACAAGTGCCCCAGAAATGGGAATATTTTTCTGCCTTGTAGCTGTTATCCATTTAATCGTTGCATCATCTATTACTGCGTAATTACAACATCTTATATCTTTATGACTTTAACGGTCATGACTCACAATTGCTTGATCATAAATTTTAGTTTTTTTTTTAATAATGGTTGAAAGTCTATTAGCAGGTATTCCATATTCTTTCGCAATATTTTCTTTTTTCTAGTCACTTTTCAACCTCAGAAATTAATTTAAATTTTTTATTAATTGATAAAGAACTTCGTTTTGCCATATTTGAACTATGTGTTTCTCACAATTGTTTAAGCTTCAATGAAGCGACAATTAAATGCAGAAAACAAGGCAAAATCATTGCACAATTTACCGTTAGAATGTTTTGAGTTTTTTTTGTAAAAACTTTGTTTTTGGAATTTCGGTAAATAGAAACTAATGTTAGGCAAAGTTACTCGTAAGTGCATTTTACTTATACATGTGTGCCAGCAGCAACATTTTGATTGCTTGATGAGGAGAGTATCGTAGGGAAGGAGCAAAAAGTATAAATTTGTACATAAGAGAACAAAATGTTTTTATATGTTCGGGTTATTATTTTGTTATATGTATTTGTCATGAAATCAGAGGAAATATATTTCCTCATAATTCTGAGGAAATAATTTTCTACCTCTTTCATTAAAAGCGAGAGCACACACAATGTGTATGGGGATCACTTTTTCATTTAAAATTGATGATGACACATTACATATACACAATCTCAACGTATTAGTTGAGTGATAGTTATGCATTTGAATAAATTCGTTATAGAGAGGTTTTTTTGTAAGCAAAAATTTGTTTGCGTACCTGAAAAAACTTCGTTGTAGAGAGGAATTCGCTATTGAGAAGTTCGTTAATAGCTAGACTGGTGGTCTGGTTTGCTGATTACTGAGTGGGCATAGTTACTCTAACGGGTCTTTCAAGTCAAATGTCACTTTCTTTCTTGGTCGGACAAGTTGTTCCTCTTTCGTGGGTTTGTCACTTACGTCCACTTCGATAAAATTAGGCTCCATAACCATAGGTTCAAAGAAGGCCGGCTTTAGTCTGTCTATTGCCAAGTTTACAGGATTCTCGCGTACGTCCACTGTAAAAAGCCTATGGTTGGTTTTTTTGATTATTTTGTATGGCCCTGTGTACGGTGGTTCTAATGGTTTCCTTAGATGGTCTGTTTTTACAAATACATGAGACGCACTATCCAACGTCTTGTGAACGAAAACAGATCTGTTTGAATGATTGGAAGTTGGAGTTGGTTTAAATTGTCGTATATGCTCACATAATGTTTTTAGGAATTTTTGTTCGTCTGGAGGTGTCTGTGTTTTCACAAAGAATTCTCCCGGTAAGTGCAGTGTTGTACCATACACCATTTCTGCTGCTGATGTGTTTATGTCTTCTTTAACAGAGGTTCGAAGACCTAATAAAACTGAAGGTAATAATTGTATCCATGTGTGCTGCGCTCATGCCATGAGTGCTGTCTTCAAAGTGCGATGAAATCGCTCAATTAACCCATTTAGTTCCGGGTGATACGGCGATGTGCGTATTCTCTGTGTGCCTAAGCGGTTTGCTAACGCCTTGAACAATGCCGACTCAAATTGAGTACCCTGGTTAGTTGCTACTAGTTTGGGAAACTCAAATCGCGATATCCAAGTTGCAAAAAAATTCTCCGCGACTGTGTCAACGGCGATGTCTTTCCATGGAGTGACCTCTGGCCATCGTGTGAATCTGTCTATCATAGTTAATGCATATCTATAACCATGGCACTCTGGAAGTATTTTTAAATCCAAATGCACATGATTGAATCGTTGATCTAATGGCATAAAAGCTTGTGGCGTGAGTTTATTGTATCTGTTTATTTTCGTTTGTTGACAATTTTGACACGATCGCACCCATTTTGCAACATCTTTGTTGCAAAAAAATCGCATAATTGTTTAGTTGTTGATATGACACCTACATGTGCTAAAGAGTGTACCGCATCAAATGCTTTCTTGCGCAATGATGACGGAATATACGGTCTGATGATACCTGTGAACACGTCACAAAATGCTGGCAAGTAAGGCTGCAACGAAAGTTTCTGCAACTGAATTAACTGCTTCAACCCAATAACTGCTTCAGTTCTTCATCTATTATTTGGTACTTCCTAATCGTATCCATTTCTATGATTGTGGCCATGTTAATTGCATTCACTCGAGATAAACTATCTGCTACTACGTTGTCATTGCCAGCTATGTGTGTTATACTGGTTGTAAACTTTCCTATAAAACTTAGCTGTCGCTATTAACGAGCTGAAACTTTATCTGGTTTTTGCTGGAAAGCATATATTAGCGGTTTGTGATCCGTGCGAATGGTAAATGTCTGCCTTCTCATAAATGTTTGAAATTTTTGATAGCTAGATAAACGGTTAGTAATTCTCTGTCGAAAGTGCTGTAGTTTTTTTGTGGTGCTTTAAGCTCCGATGAAAAAAATGCAACTGGACGCCAAACATCGCTTTCTTGTTGTTCTATTACTGCACCGACTGCATTTCTAGACACATCTGATGTCAATCAAATTGTACTTGAGGGTGAAAGAAATGTTAATTTAGATAGCGCAGTTACGCTTTTCTTACAGCTTTCGAATGCCATCTCTAACATAGGGTTCCATGTTATTGGTGTTTTGTCATTCTTTGTTGAGTTTTTTAACAGTTCATTTAGCGAAACTTGCAACTTAACTGCTTGCGGAATGCACTTGCGGTAATAATTAAGAATTCCTAGAAAACGGCGAATTTCTTTAATTGTTTTTGGTTTCGCATATTCCTCGATTGCTCTCACTCGTTCTGTAGGTGGGCTGATTCCTGCGGCTGATATGTCGTACCCTAAAAAGTATGCTCTGTGGATGTCGATTTTTGAGAACAATTTGCTGGCATGTAGTTTGTCCGTCACTTGGTCTAAGTATGATATCGTATACCGGTCTGGTTTCATCGGGCGTTTAGCTTCCTGAAATCACCGCAGGCGCTCCAGGTGCCTGTCTTCTTTTTGACTAGGTGGATTGGACTAGGTGGATTGCTAACGGCGTGACCTTTCATGTACCGGCTGACCATCGGCGACTATCTAATGATTGACTAAACAGGTGTCAGGGAGGTTGTAGGTGTTTGCTCCACCCACATCGACATACTTGCTGATGATCACAAAGAATTTGGAGTTTGGATCTAATGTGTACACGGACGGCGTTAATGTAGTCTTTACTACGCCAGTTGAGGATAATTTCGTCAGTGGATCTAATAAGCACTTTGATTTCATATCTGGAATTAGACCGTATTTGGCTTAAAAATCTGCGTCCAGAATTGGTGACGTGACCTCTGCTATGATGAAGGTCCATGTAAAGTTGCATCGTAAACCAAGATTAAGACTAAGTCTTTTGATACCGTACGTCTTAATGTGTGAATTGTTCGCCGCGAAAGTTTTATATCATCTGGACTTAAATTGCGTCTGCTTAAGATTGCTGTTAACGGAATGATTGATACTGCTGAACCGGTGTCAATTAGGAAGTTCATGTTTGAAATACTATCGACAATATGCAAACGAGCTTTTTTTGTGCAGTTTTGCCGCACGTTGCCGTTTACTGCACTTGTTGACGGCAACGGTTTTAGTTTCAATTTTTTAGTTTTAGTTTTAGTTTCCTTTTGTTTAACATTGGCTGGCTGACTACCAAATTCGCATGGTTTGACGCAAGAATGTCGGTAAATTTGTTATTTTAACTGCATCGATGTCCGTTTTTACCGTGGCTAAAGTTGCGT